ATAAATTGTGATTTATATTTTATTATATTTTAGAATATATGATATTTGATATTTATTTCTTTGAAGGGAATATGGAAAATATATTTGATAAATATTAGAAATAATGGATAATGATACTTGAAGGTATATATAATATAAGAAAATAGAATATAATGAATGATATATATTAAATAATTGTAAATTTTAATATATATTAAATTTAAAAAATATATATATTTACATATTTAAATAATCATTATGTATAATAATATTAATTAATTATTTTTTGATATATATTTTTAATATAATTATATAATTTATAAAATATTATTATTAATATATTAGATTTAATGAATTTTTAATTTATTTATTTGTATAATAATATAATAATATATATATATATTATTAATAATTCATATTATATTAATAAATTGTTAATTGTTATTTAAATATATATTTTTATAATAATAACTATATTAATATAAATATATTATATATTAATATTAATATAATATATTATATATTTAAATATATATATTGAAATTAATTTATTATTATTATTTGATTTTTTATTATATTATTAAATATATGGAAAATCTTATTAATTTAAATAAGAAATTATAAATTAATAAATAAATATATTTAAAAAAAAAGAATATATATATTATATACCGATATTAAAAACAATTTTGTAATATGGAGAAAATTTAAGGAACGAAATCTAATTAATATTGAATAATATATATTCTGTAACTGGCAATAAAGAGCCGCTGATTTTGGGAGATTTTAACGAATTGGTATAGTATTTATATAGATATATTATTTGGTTGATTGGTTGGTTGGTATGTAGTTAGTACTTGTTAAAGAGGTTAGGCCCGCGTTTCCCCTCTCGACCGAAGTTTGGGATTGAAATCGGCCGGAAAAATAAAGATAGCCAAGGCACAAGTTGTACCATGGCAAACCCAAAGTCGGCATAACTAAAACAGGGGTAGAGGATGGAAATTGGGGGGCCTAAGCATGAATAACAAAGAAAACGTAGGAATAGAAATATGTAAGGCATTCTAGAACAGGCCCGATAGGTGTGAGACCTTCCCGAGCGCAGGCTAAGACAATGGCAGGCTCGCCTGCGACGACGGTCAGGACCATCCCCTCTTCCCGACGCAGATTCTCGATACAGAGGCGAAAGCCAACTGAAAGGCCAGACGGAGAGCCGAAAACATTATTATAAGCGGCTAAGGCCATGGAGACTGTGACAGGGTCGGATCTTCGTTGCAGGAAGCGGTGCAGCCACCGCTTGATCCAACGGTTGCTAAGCATAGACGGCTGAGTCACGTCATGACCGGCTCCTAGACGGGCCTGATTAACCACCGACTCCATGTGCGTATTTAGGGCTGCCTGCAAAGGAGGATAAACTGGACGGAGAGGTGAGGCAGCAATTACAGATAACCAAAAGAACGCACAGTCAGGGCATAGTTGAACGACGTGAACCGCGAACGGCAGGTACGCTACATAAACACCATAATTCCAATAATAATAAGGCCGGAAATGGATATAATGGTTGTATCCACAACACATAACATCCCCAAGCCCGTGGCCCCATGAGCAAGGGAGAGAGGCTCGAACGGGACCGGAGCCAACCGCGCCCGCCCGCACAAAGAACACAAATCAAAGGCAGGAAAAGGGCCAGGAAGCGCAAGATAAACACATTATGTATAAAGTATCTATATATTCCAAAATTATTATAAAAATAATCCTTATATTTATATTATAAAAAACCAATAAATTGTATTAAATAAGCTCAGGCGAAATCCCCAACAGCATGCGGTGCTCTTTTTAGTGCTCGGCAGCCCTCGCAGAACGTCGTGGAACGCTCGTGGAACCCTAGTGGAACCCTGGTGGAACCCTTGTGGAACCCTACCTCAGGGCCGCCCCGAACCACACCGGAGCCTATCTGGGCTACGACCCCAAAGCTTCCAGCTATTGGGGAATAAATATACAAATTAAGTAAAATTAAGCAGAGGTAAAGCAAAATTAAGTAATAATCAAAACAAACAAAAACAAATAAAAACAAATAAAAACAAACAAAGGAAAAAAAAAATATAAATAATAATCAAAAACAAACAAAATCAAACAAATAAAATAAAATAAACAAAATAAATAACAATAAATAAAATCATAAAATAAATAAATATAAACAAAATATAAAAATAATAATAAATTAAAAAATCCAAATTAAAATATAAATAAAAATAAATAAAATAAATAAAAATACACATATAATAAATAAAAAAGTCACAAAAATAATTTAAATAAAATTAAAAGTCCATCTATTAGTTTAAATCATAAATAAAAAAAATAAAAAAAATCAAATAAATATAAATACAAATAAATAAATAATTATATCAACATAAAAATAAAATAATTCAAAATAAATATATATAAATAAAAAACAAAAATAATCAAAAATATATATTAAATAAAAATAACTATATCAAATAAACATAAATAAAATTAACTAAAACATAATATCTAAAAAAATGCTAATAATATATAAACAACAAACACCAATAAATAAAGAAATAAAAATAAACAATTAACAAATAATTTATACAAATTAATTAACAAATAACAATCAATAAATAACAAACAAACAACAACACACAAAAAAAAAAAAAAAACCAACTATACAATCGAAAACAAACAAACACACATAAACAAACAAACAAACAAAAACAAACAAACAAAAACAAACAAACAAACCCACAAATAGAGAAACAAAAAACAAACACAAAAAAAAAAAAACAAAAACAAAAAACACGGCAACACAAAAACACAAAAACACGAAACAAAAATACAAAAACACAAAAGCACGCATATAAACACGGAAACACACAGACACAGACACGTAAAGACAAACACAAAGACAAACACAGAAACAAACACAGAGACACGCAGAGACAGACACAAAGACAAACACAAAGACAGACAGAGACAGACAGAGACAGACACAGAGACACGCAGAGACAGACACAAAGACAGACACAAAGACAGACAGAGACAAACACAGAGACAGAGACAAGACAAAGACAGAGACAGAGACAACACAAACCCAGAGACAGAGACAAGAGCGCGACCTTCCAAGCACCCCGTAAGAAGCTGTGCGCCTCTGTCGTTCGATTGCTGGAAGTTCAAAGTGTTAACGCTAGGCGCAGCGCAGGCCTTTAATGCTTGGGTTAAAGGCCTGGTGCACTACTCCTAGCAAAAGAAAATTGCACGCCAATAAAAAAAATCACATTCCCCCACCCGTAGAGATAGAAAGAGGGAGAGGGAGAGAGCCCTCCCTCCCTCCCTCCCTCCCTCCCTCCCTCCCTCCCTCCCTCCCCTCCCTCCCTCCCTCCCTCCCTCTCCTCCTCCTCCCTCCCTCCCTCCCTCCCTCCTCCCTCCCTCCCTCCCTCCCTCCCTCCCTCCCTCCTCCCCTCCTCCCTCCCTCCCTCCCTCCCTCCCTCTCCCTCTCCCTCCCTCCCTCCCTCCCTCCCTCCCTCCCTCCCTCCCTCCCTCCCTCCCTCCTCCCTCTCCCTCCCTCCCTCCCTCCCTCCCTCTCTCTCCCTCCCTCCCTCTCCCTCCTCCCTCCTCCTCCCTCCCTCCTCCCTCCCTCCCTCCCTCTCTGCGCCTTTCTGCCCTCTGCCCTCTGTCTCTGCCTCTCTGCCCTCTCCCTGCTCCTGGTCTCTCTCTCTGCCCTCTCTCTCTCTCTCTCTCTCTCTCTCTCTCTCCCTCTCTCTCTCTCTCTCTCTCTCTCTCTCTCTCTCTCTCTCTCTCTCTCTCTCTGCCCTCTCTCTCTCTCTCTCCTCTCTCTCTCTCTCTCTCTCTCTCTCTCTCTCCCCCTCTTTCTCTCCTCTCTCTGCCCCTTTCTCTCTCTCAGTCTCTCTGCCCCCCCCTCCCTCTCTCTCTCTCTCTCTCTCTCTCTCTCTGCCCTCTCTCTCTCTCTCTCTCTCTCTCTCTCTCTCTCTCTCTCTCTCTCTCTCTCTCTCTCTCTCTCTCTCTCTCTCTCTCTCTCTCTCTCTCTCTCTCTGCCCTCTCCCTCTCTCTCTCTCTGCCCCCCCCCCGTCTCTCTCTCTCTCTCTGCCCCCTGCACTTGAGGCTAGGGTGGACTTTTTCCCCTCTCTCTCTCTCTCTCTCTCTCTCTCTCTCTCCGTCCCCCCTCTCTCTCTCTCTCTCTCTCTCTCTCTCTCTCTCTCTGTGTGTCTCTCTCTCTCTCTCTCTCTCTCTCTCTCTCTCTCCTTCTCTCCCTCTCTCCTAGGGAGGGAGGGAGGGAGGGAGGGAGGGAAAGCAGGAAAGAGGGAAAGAGGAAAAAGGGAAAGAGGAAAGAGGGAAGAGGGAAGAGGAAGAGGAAGAGGAAGAGAAGGGAAAGAGGGAAAGATGGAAAGAGGGAAAGAGGGAAAGAGGGAAAAGCCCGAAATTTTGGAGAAATTTTGATCCGGACAGGTCCCGAAAATTCCCGAAAATTTGACCTGTTATTTTTTCGGAAAGCCGCAAAATTCTGCGGATATTTGCAGGGGTAACGTCTGAAGATCTGAGAGCCGGGTCGCCGGAAGCGACCCAAAATTCGGGAAATTTGGCCGGGTTATGCCGCGAGAGCTCTAAGCGAAGATCTGAAGAACCCCCTCAAAATTTCAGCAAAATTTCGGGGACTTCCGGGCCGCGCTAAGAGGCAGGAGCTTGTGCCGCGGAGAAAGGACTTGGACGGGCACAGCCGATCGCCGCAAGCACGACGATTCGGCCGGAGTACCGCTGCCGGCGGCGCACGGGAAACGCGACCCCGAGGGTTTATAGGAGAATATAATCTTGAAAATATACCGATTTATTTAATACATATATATATATATATATATATATTATACATAATACAAGAGCAATTACATTATAATCTTATATAGGATTGATTATCTATACATATATATATATATATATACATATGTATACACACATGCTATCTTATTATTCCAATTTGTTTATTTCTTTTTGGAATTCAAGGAGAAAGTAAGTTTTGCCATGTGTTTTGTTGGCTTGAGGATGGTATTCCTCCTTATAAAATGTGGGGTATGCAGTCAGGAACAATGGCAGGAATTGCTAGAATGATCCCTTGAATTGCCACGCCAAACAATTGTTCAAGATGGAGCAATCATCATTCGTAGCCGTACTGCCAAGGACTGCGAGAGTATATGAGCACCAGGCCCTACAAGAACTTGGTCCCAAAGGAAGAAATGGATAAGGCTCGGATGCAGCAGACAAACGGCAGCCCCTTCAAACGCTTCCGTCCACCAGGCTACGCAAAATGCTGGCACTCTGTCATCGATGGCAATGGCGAAAGATGTGCCCCAGCTCAGCTCTCGGCCAAATGCAGCGATCAGGTTCAACATCCTGCTCAACTGCAAGCACATTTCCGCATTGAAGTGGCTTGCATGGCGTTGCGTGAAGCCTCAAACAATGCCTGTGCAAAAGTCAAGGCCAATGAGTTCGCTACCTTCTTGGAAGCTGATTCTGTACCTATTGCTTCCCAAACGGCTCGAATGAGCCCAAAGAATTCACAAACGCGTCCTCTTCACAGTGGCAGCTGCAAAAGCAACGCTGCACACGCATTAAAAAGTGGCAATTATTCAAGTCTGATAGGATGGCATCCCAGACAGACCCAAAATAACTCAAATGTTGTCCGTCTTCAACTGTGAGAAGTAAAGGCATATGCCAATCCCCTCTCTGGCTCTGCATCAAATGTCTGCATGCTGGGATCTGGATACAGAACCTGGGCCAACGACCCGGTGACTCCACACGGAAGCGTGATGTTATCTTGGGACAGCTTGGGTTACCATGGGACCACAGACTCACAGGACTGTCTGCGTCAACCCAGGAAGACCTCATGAAAGCCTGTGACATGCTTGCAACCAGATACAGCTGTCAAGTCAAGCAACTCCACAGTGAGGGCAGAATCTGTGATACACCATCCTTGCCGACCCACACCAGGTGCCTGAGCTGCGGGTCAGGCGTGCTGATATCGCAGGCTGGATTACAGGGCTTGACTTGTCAAGCTCGTTTGCAATTGCCATGAAAAGAGTGCTTCTGAGGGTGCAGTCTGAAACAAAATCAAATGAAAGACGGAATGGCGCAAAGAGAGTAGATTGCAGTCAGGACTCAGAAATGCGCCTGGCCTGGTCCGAAGGTAAACAGATTTCCTGCCACGCGCGCCACACTTCTCTGAGCAAGCACTAGTCTCCCTCTCTCTGTCTCGTTGGGTTCACGCCCAGATCCGCTGGACACATTGGACCAAGTCGTGCAACTCGCCTGGGGACGGCCAGAAAGGTGACCCCCTCACTTGGAGTCGAGTCCTCGCAGCAACTGACTTTTGAGGTCGGAGACATACTCCACAGGATAAGCCTGACAAAACCTAGAACCACTCAACATGGCCTATAGAAGGTCAAATATCCAATGCCCTGCCACACTTGGATGCCGTCCCAAGAAACAACAAGAAAGAAGAATCCGCCGCTCCTCTGTTTGACGGAGTCTGCCACCCAGGGTGCAGTGCGTTTTCCTGCATGGCCAGCGGTAGATTTCTCCTTGAAGGAGTTAGACACCCTATTGATGCGCACGACAAACTGCGAACATCCCTTGTGACCTTGCGAGAACACCTGAACACGATAGCACGGTTGGAATCCTGGAGAAGGAACCGACGCGAATTTGGGCCTGAGATTCGTTTTTGCGCACTTCCCTTTCCTGAAGCTGGCGCAACCCTTCTCGCCCAAAACGTGACCAAATTACACGTCGGCCGCAACTTTGCTTTGGGCGTCCTTTCATGGCCGCAAATTTGCAGGTGAAACAAACACACACGCACACACAAGCGCGCGCGCACATTGCACAACGAGGAAAGATTGACAATGCTTCGTATTGGGATGGATGGTAGTATGAACTGTCCGTCTCCTGCCAGAATGCAGGGATTGAACCGTGGGTCGGGGACTGCCAAAGGGAAGGAGCAGAACCAAAAAATCTAAATGTTACCCGTCTATCTCCTGTACACAAGCTGGAACATTTCGCTTGATACCCGTGTGTTCAGGAGGTGCGATTGTTGAGCAACCATCAAAATGTACTTGGCGTGCTTTTGTGTCCTGAAAAAAGTGCGACTGGAGCTGTGAAGATGCACTTCTCATATTACGCTTTTTCCGGACAGTGAGTATAAAACCGAAAGAAAAATGCGGGGTTACCAACAAGAGCGGTGACTGGAATCCACTGGGCTGCACAATGTGAGCGAATGACGAAGGCCATCTTCAACATGGCATATGATTGGGTGCACCACCATTTCCCGCTTCATGTGTCCAATGGCTGGCTACACCAGGACTTGCTGGACGAAACTCTGAAGCAGTTGGGATGGATGAAACCTTCTGAATACTGGTAGCCTACAGCATGGGTAGCACCGCCCCTGGATGAAACTTAGCCATATTAAGATGATATGTTTGGTGAAAGATTCCTAAATGCAAGCAAGCGCCTGTTTCTGGCAAGCAAGCCACGGTGCTGCCTGTTTGCATCATGTACAGGACACTGGCGATCTCGGATGCCAAGATGTCATTCGCCACCGGGTCATTGCAACTGTCAGTAGTTCCTGCGCCACACATTTCTCGCAGCTAGAAATGCAGGGTTACTTGTGTTTTCCCTAAATCATCACCCCTACCGAGGGAAGCTCACCTTAAGTGAGCCAACAAGGGGATGTCCAAAACCAAAAGGGGAATATAGGGGCCCACTCTAATGTCAAAGACCGGAGAGGAACGCCCTGCCAAGGCCATTCAGTGTCTCGACACTTTGAGCATGCGTGAATGAGGACGCTTCCGAGCAGCCCAAGCACGAGCCATCCACCCCGCTTTGTCCGAGGGTTCACAGAACTTCCAATTGCCTCATTCACGCAAACACAAATTACGCAGCACCCTGAGTCCAAATGCGCTGGGATGTTGGAAAGGCCTTTCTGCCAAAATGGGCGTGCGTCTATGCGAACCCTAATTGAACCCGCTGCATTTTCTCTCAACTTGAGAGCCCCGTGTGCAACACATGGCTTGGGGCAAAAATGATTGGCTTCCAAACAGGTCCCCCTCTGTAAGGTTGCGAATCTGCGTGGTCTGCGTGGCAAGCGCGCATTCCGCCTGCAGTGGTTGATCGACTCCAGAAGTCTTGCATGAAGTCCGGGCCTGCCACGCAGCCAACTGGCCGACCGGCAAATCCGGCTTTGGACTCTGCAAGCTGCTTTCATCCTTTTCGGAGCAAGGAACCCGAACACAGAGGCTCCCTCGACCTGTCGGTGGCCTTCAGCACACTCTTCGAGCCCTGGAGGCTTCCCCAGAAAGTCGAGCCCAGGTTCTGTCGCAGATTCCTGGAGGCGCATGCCTTGAGGTTTTCGAAGCTACCCCGAGATTACACTCATGTCTAACATGTTTTGTAGGCTTGTCTTTGGGCCTGCGCAACAGGCATTTTGGACCGCATGTTGTTTTGCCGAAGTGGCCGGCACGGCATTTGTTTCTGAAGTGTTGCCAGCCCATGTTCAAGGGCCCAGCACTTGGATTGTCCCGTCGGCAAATCACAAGCAAGTCTCCTATGAAGTCATCAACATGCCCACAGGTCACAACGCTAGATATATAACTTGTTTGAACAACAAGGCAGAAAGGCAGGTAAGCAGAATCAACAAGCACGTTGAACATGGGTGCCCCTGCAACTCGGACAGCTGCGGCAGCCGCTATGACCACAGCTGTTGCGGTTTAGTATCGTCTGTAACATATTAATAACAGGAATCCTTACAACAACCAATTATATACCCTTCAACCGACCACAAACCAAAGGAAGCAAAGACCACGCATCCAGAGCGCTGTGAGCACATGCCGGAGCCCAAAAGAGGCACGACGGAAAGCACATGTCCACAACCAGAACTGTGCGTGTGTGTGTATATATACATGCATTTATAAATAGATACTATGGACGGCGTTGAGCAAGACTTCTTGATAACATCTACCCAAATGGTCCGGCGCAGATGTTGATGGAAATACTGCGCAGGAACTCTTTAAACAAGTTCGTGGTAGAAGGTCCTGCGCAAGATCTCCCTGAAAGGATATTTTGAGAAGCTGCTCAGAAGGACTAGCGCAAGTTCTCCGGTCTTTGTGTCAATAGTCTCCCTGGGGCATCTGTGCAGGATCTCTGCACCGGATCCCGTCGAGGGTCTTGACAGGATCTCCGGATAAGATTCCTGAACAGGATCTTCGCAAGCTCTCCGCGCAAGATCTCAAAGGATCTCGGCACAGATCTTGGACTAGGCTGGCTCTGCGCAACATCCCTTTGGAGGATCTTTGCAGAATGTCGCACGACCTCTTGCACAATCTTCGCAAGATACCTTTACAATATCTTGACAAGAGGAGCTCTACAGAAGCTCCTGTGCGAGTCATTTACAATTTCTCTCGCGAATAATCTTTTTCAAAATCCTGACACGGGCGAGCTGCATGGTAGGTTGGGGGGCGAATTCAACGAGAACGATTCAAAACAGCCAAAGTCCGCAAAGGAAAAGGCCAATTTTGCATGAGCTGGCTCACGCAAATGCTATGTCCATTTTTGGCCATGGCGCAGGCAGCTTGGGTCCGCTTTACCCTGTCAGAAGCGCAGTCCTCACAGTCATGCTGCAACACTCTTAGCCCGATCGGATCCCAGCTCAGCTCGATGTTGTGACCTGGCGAGCACAGGGCGCCCTGGGACATGCAATGCACCCAGGTCGCTTCTTACGGACTCCATGAGCTACATTTCAGCCTGCGCACGCACAAGAAATGATTCAAAGCTGCAAGTCCACCGGTTCATTCCCCAAACTTCAGGTACGGCGCCCGTGTTTCTCCTTTCGATGGCTAAAAGTATCACCTGCACGCAGCTACCCTGGAACCCTGTAAGTGGAACTATTTTTACCCAAATGGTGGCGGGTCTCCCATAAGTGGTTCGCCCCACTTCTCTGAACAAAACCCCTACTCCTCCCTTGGGCTACTTGTGGCCCTCAAGGCGGCCACGCGGTTGGTCGGCACGCGGCCCGGCAGGCCACAGCTCCAGCCACTTGCCCTTGGACTACGACTATGACTGCGGCTGTCTTGCACTACCAAGCGGATACTTTCACGCAGCTGATACTTTCACGCATGGGAGGCATGAACGTCATTTCTTGTCAGCTGCCAAGCTTCCCCGCCGAGGCAGACAGCGCGGAGCGTTTACAATAACTCCCCACTCACCTAAATACCCACACAAGGTTCCCAAATCACATTCATACCCGCCTGGCAGAAGCTCGTGGGCGTCCAGCAAGAGCGGATTCCACAGCAGAGGCTCATCCTCGAGGCAAGCACAACGCCCAACGCAACTCACATCATAAAGGTATTTGTTGCACTGGATCAACGTGTTCTACGCTGACTGCTCGCATGTCTCATAACTGGACTTTTCTCCCGCTTGGGCGTGCCATGGAGAGCGGGCGTTGAGCCACGACTCTCGGGGCGCTGATTTGATTGAGGAAAGATCTGCGCTGCCCACTTGAACAGCTCTCTGGGTTTCAGAGTCTTGGATTTAGTGGGATGTCAGTGCGTTTAAATTTGGCGTGGCTTTGGCTTGGCCTTTGGGGAAGTGTTAGGTTGAGGACTCGTGCATGCTGGTTTTGAGTTTGCTCCAGAATGCGACTCAGGGTCGGCTCAAGATCGGACCAGGTTCGAATTGATGGTTGAACTTGGCCTGCTTCAAATAGATTTCGGGGTGACTTGCTCGAGCTTGAGATTGGCATTGAGGTTGGTTTAGGTAGGCTTGAGTATGATGTTGGATTGCAAAGGGGTTGCTCAGGTTGTGTCCTCAGGCAGGGTGGTTTGGGTGGTTGAAGACGACGATTCGTGGTGGTCCGGGGTGGGGTTGGGGCTAGTTTAGCACGCTTGCCTTGCCTTGGAGTGTGGCAACTGGAATCCTCGTCATTTGGGTGGGAGCATGGGATTTAGAGATGGCTAAGAGCAAGTTGATGCAGGTGATGGATTTAGCGCAGGCTTAGGTTAAACTTGGGCCAGGTTTGGCATGAGGTTTAGGTTGATGTCAGGCTTGGGCTAAGGGTGTTTCGAGGGTTTGAGGCAGGGAGTCGGTGGGGATGCTTGTTAAGGGTGCGTCTGTCACACTCATGCATTCTATGCATGTGTTGGTGTCAGCACGGGCTCGTTCCACAGATTCAGAAGACCCTTCTCCGCTTCCATGGAGGAAGCCTTTGCAGAACTCATTCAGCCTGTATATATATATATATATATGTACATATATATATATATACACAGAAGGGCCCCTCATGTGTATGTGTGGGTGTTTGTATACAATATTTATATATATATATACATACATAATGTATCTCTATGTGTATATATATATATATATGCTACCCCGCCCCAAAACACCTACCTTTGTGTTGCCTCTCCAGTGCCCCTCTCAGTTCTGAATATTTGATTTGGACAAACGTGTTTTTTGGTGTATTTTCTCTCAGTGTCCCCCTGACTTTGTCCTCACTATTCCCCTCTAGTTTTCCCTCAGTGTTCCCCCTAGTACTGCCTGAAAATTCCAATACGTCCCTAGTCTTCCCTTGATATTTCCGTAGTATTCCCTTAGTATTCCTCCAGTATTCCCATATTCCTTTAGCATTATCTTACCGCTATATTGCCCTTGTAATTCTTACTATTTTCTTAGTACACCCCCAGTGCTCTAAGTACTCCCCTAGTATTCTCCTAGCATTCCCCTTTTTGTTTGTTCCCCTAGCATTTCCCCAGTACTTCCCAGTATTCTCCTAGTATTCTCTTGGTGTTCTCCCCTAGTATTCCCCCAGTATTCCCCTAGTATTCCTCTAGTATTCCCCTAGTATTGCTCTAGTATTCTCCTGTTATCCTCTCGGGAATGTTCAGGGATTACTAGGGCAATATAGGTGTAAGACAATGCTCAAGGAGGGAGTATCAAGGGAATAATCGGTGAATTCTCAAGGAATAGTAAGGGCATACAAGCGGAATACCAAGATGATACCGAGACTAGGGCAATATAGGGGTACGACAATGCTAGGGAATACTGGGAGCCTACTTCAATCATTAGGGCAGCATAGGGGTAAGACAATGCTAAAGGAATGGGAGAGTACTAGAGGAATACTAAGGGGAATGCTAGGGGAATATCAAGGGAACACTAGGGAAATACTGAGAATTTGACTGGGGGTATACCAAGAGAATACTAAGAAATACTGAGCTTTTTAGGGGTAAGACAATGCTAAAGGAATACGAGCATACTAGAGGAATACTAAGGGGAATCCTAGGGGAATATGAAGGGAATAGTCGCGAATACTAGGGAGTACCAAGGTGAACACCTAGGAGAATACGAGTGGAATACTGAGGGAATACTGAGGGAATACTTGGGGAGTATTGTGGGAGAAGGAAATGCTAGGGGAATAGTGAGGAAACATTAGGGCCTGGGTTGAAGATTCAAGATTCAAGATCCCCTAGAAAAGTGTTCCATGAATCTTGAAACCCATGTAAATTTAAATCGGGCCTGGATTTATCAAAATTCAAGATTCCCTGGATAAAATGGTCTGCAGTCTTGAGTCTGGGCCTGGATTGAAAAAGATTGAAAGAGATTGACACTTAAATCTGGGCTTGGATTTAAGATTCAAGGTTCCCTGAACAAGTTTGGCCTGGAATCTTGAATCTTGGATCTGGGCCTAGTTTTACAAGGATTGAAGGAGTTTGAAATTTGAATCTGGGCCTCGATTGAACTCGATTGACATTTGAATCGTGTCTAAAGCCTCCAGAATGTCCTTGGAAATACACCCTTTTTTCTGCTTTCCCGAAAGCCCCACAGAAGGCATAAAAAAACACCGCAAATACCAGTGAACTATTCACAAAGGTAGGTCTTTGGGGGGGAATACCATGTGTATATATATATATATTTGTTTATTAATTTAATCCTTTTGGCCCATTTAAAAGGATCCCAGGAAACAGGCCCGATCCCACTTTCTCACGCTGTCCCGCGGGGATGCCGTCGATTCGGACTCGCCGCTGCGGCCTGCGTTCGAAGAAATGGTCACTTGCCGGAGACTCTCTGATATCCAGTGGCTTCATTGTACCTCTGTTTTGCTTCCCTCCGAACTCTGGTCCAAAGCTACAAGTCTTAGCTTTCAACGTTTCTCCAAATCAAATCCACGCAAGCCAAGAATCACTACGCCTCTGAAACCTCCATGCTCTTGCCTCTTCTCGCCGGGTTGCAAAGAAGAAGCATGTCTCCCTTGTCAATGCGCGCAACGGTTGTTGCCTCACGAGGCCGCTATCACTCTGGGATGCGGCATTTCCAGTGCCCGCACCACGCAATAGACTGCATGGTCCGCTTGCAGTTGCTTGACTTGCAATGCGCAGACGACGCATGGGCAAAAGGAAAGGGTTCAAATATCAACGCATGGAAGCGCGTTATTTAAAAAAAAAAAAAAAAAAAAAAAAAAAAAACTTCTCCACCATGACTTGGTCGGCCTGCATAGACTCGGCGAGCTTTGGCTGCAAACCCATCGCCCTCAATGCGACCGGCGCCCTACATCTGAATTTCATGTGAGTCTCCGGGACCCAAAACAGGTCATGCCAAGTCCTCTGTAGTTGTTCTGTGGTTCCAGCTTGGTCGAACACGGGAATCATTCACTTTCATTGAATTCGAGCTCTCTCAATCAGGGATAATTCGCACTGGATTCCCATTACGCGGTCAAGATCAAAATGCCTTCGTGACCAGGAAGTGCGCCACGCGGTTTGGGAGAATGTGCCGTCGGATTTTTTCGCGAGCTCCGGGAATGGAGCCAGCAAGCGTAGATGTCGTCGCAGTGGAATTTCCATTGCTGTGTTGGGCCTGAACCAAACGAAGCCTTTGCATACCAAGACTTTGTTTTACAACGGGAAGAAAGCCGCCGTTTTGGGAGTCTCCTTTTTTCATGGGTAAGTGGAAACCAAAACAAAAACACTGCCGTTGGGGTCCTTAGCAAGCCGCGTCCGAGAACGTGTTGTCCTTGGGGACACTTTGACAGAATCCAGATATGTCCACCCCCACCCCACCCCACCCCAACCCACCCCACCCCAGCCCACCCCAACCCAACCCACCCCACCCCCACAACCCAACCGAACCGGTTCTCCACGGAAAAACACATTTGTGCGCAATGCCCATCTTCACCAAAGTGCCTTCTGGCTGGCTGCCTGGCTCCTGGTTCTGAAAATGCAGCCAAGATGCTCAACTGATGCTAGTATTGGAACAAAAAACTCTGAGCCAAGACCATCGCGGACAGTCCAACACTGACGATAGGTCTCTATTGCCAGTGAGATCCATGCGCGTGGACAATGCAAACATCCGAGAAGTTCAAACCCTTGGACTTCAGTTCTACCCATGTTTGAATGCCATGATTCTGCAACCCGCATCCCAACACCCGGTTCCCCCTTTCCGACTTGTGCATCATTTTGCAGTCGCGTCACTCACCCCAGCACGCCTCCCTAGCAAGTGAACACCTGCTAAACTAATTGACTAGATTGAGCACAATCACGCATTGCAAAAGCCCAGCAGCGCATCATGACAAACACGAAGAGTACACAAACAGCTCTATCACCGTGTCACGGCCTCTCTGCACAAGGCTTGCCAAGCTGCAGGCTTCAATGAAGCTTCCCGAGCGTGCCTCCAAAGCCACGCGCAGTTGGGTGAGAAAACAAACAAAGCGAGGTTTGGAGTAAAGAAATGAACAAGGGAACGTCAGGTCACCGCTGTGAGCAGAGTAGGCAGTCAGGAAACCTCGCAAATCTCGAAATCTACCGAATTCGTGCACTTGAAGCCAGGAGCACGCCCCGAAGGCTCAGCGGCCGCAGCCGCAGATTTCGGGACCCAAACCTTGGCGGAAAACGAATACGTTGCCACCCTTCAATGAGACTGGAATCACTGGATTTCCCCTTCGAAAGTTGCAGTTTACCGGCGGGTTCCAACAAAATCCCGGCTTTTGCAGGTCCAAAACGGGAAATCGAGTGACCCCTGTGAGAGCATGACACTTATGGCAGATTGGGCCAGCGAAGGGCCCATTTGCCTTTGAACGACATGGACGTGAGTCACATTTTTTCATTGTGGACCGAATTTCCTGATGGTAATTTGGTGAGTGAGACCCCGTACAGTGGATGACAGGAAGATATATATGCTCATAAGGAAAGCACCAATCGCACGCGCCTCCAAGTTTTCTAACAGCTCTCACCTGGCGCTCGCAGACCGAGGATAGCGAGCTCTTTCCATGGCTATCAATGGAGAACACCCAAAAAACCATGGTTGGTGGACATCAATCCCCTTGGTTTAAAAAAAAAAGGTGCTTGGATTGCTGTCCAAAACCCTTGAAAGAGTTTGGAAAGCAACGCTAATGATTATGCACCACAAAGTCACATGAGTTGGGAATCCTTCGAACAGCTGACAAGCTGACGATGCCCAAAAGGGCCAACATCTGGCTGTTGCCAGCCCGGAAATCGCCCTGTTCCAGGTTGGGCCCCTTTTCAACATGGTTCAACCACCGTTGTTGAAACAATCTCGTGGTTTCTCTTTCTAGCTGGGCCTGGTATGAAAATGGCCTGCCCAAAACCATGTCAGGTGGCAAATCAAGACGGCGGCCGCACCGTCAAAAAAAAAAATAGGGCTGAGATTGTCCCATACTATGCTTGAACTAGCCAAGTTTTTGCGTGTGGCACCTGAAACAGGGCGCAAAAGCCGCCTGGCCACATCTGCCAGGTAGGGGTGGTGAAGTCCCTTCCGAGCCGTCCTGAGCGATTGGTTTGCTCACAGCAAACCCAAGAAATTGCTATGAACTTCAATAGGGAACCTCCACGTGGACATACGTCCCCACCATGTTGTCCGGAGTCACCCCGAGAGTCCCCAACCAAATGTCAAATCTGCTGATTCCGAATCCCGCAACAAGCGGAAAGTTGTGGAGCAATCCGTGCTTTTCCTTTCAACGCTCCATGTTAATCGGGTGGGGTTGGGAAGGTGCCTGTTACATGTTTCCAATCAGTTTTGCACAACGACTTCTCTAGGTTTCGGGGTACAACTGGAAAACGTGGGGCCTAACATTCTTCCATCATTCCAAGTGCTCAAAAAGAAGGAAGGTATCAGACTCGTCGACCTTCGGCCTTCGAATCGATGCTTCACGGCGTTTCGCATCTCTCTTGCCACCAGGGGCACACCGCTCTGCTCGAAACCGCAAGGCTCAGGACTTGGCCACCGCTGCTTCGGGTCGTAGGCCATGAACTTCTCGAGCAAGTCAATGCCGTTCTCTCCCACCTCTCGCTCGATCCAATGGAAGTCATGCCCCAAGCCAATGGAAGAATTTGCGACTTGGCTTGTCAGCTAAGTTGATTTCCTCAAGGCGAACAATGAAAACACATGCATGAGTCGGTCGTAGGCCGTTGGACACAAAGTGCACCGTTGTAGCGCCGCTGCCTGGGTCTTGGTGTTGCGGATGTTCTGCCAACCTCCACCCGACTCTCGGCACGAATGCTTTTGGCAAATAACCACAGCACGTGGCGAATGGCTTATTCAGCAATGTGTCCAAAGATCAACCGTCCACATTCCCTCGTGCTCAGCGCCGCGAAATAGTATGCCCGTTCCAAGCAAGCCCCGCCTTTCGGCCTCCAGGAAGGGAAGTTCGGCTTGAAACTCGGCGCACGGATCAGCTGACATGAGCCACAGATGCGAAGTAGTGACATTGGATGTTGGCGGAAATGTGTCCATTCCCTCCCGCAAATTGAGTCCGGTTGGGATGCTGAAACCTCTTCCAGGCAGCCAGGCCGGCTGCTTCCGCGGGTTCAACGACCTCCCGTGTTTTCTTGAGCTAGGCAGCGACCGCCCTCAGTGCGGGGCTTTGGAAGCTCTCGGATATCAGGCCAGACCTTGGCTGATTCGAGCGTCATCTCTTTCATTTGTGTCCATGGGACTCCTGTTGGATCTAGAAATGATGAAACTCATGTTCAGGCACATGTTAATTGCAAAGCAAGCAAGAACACTGCAGTGTCAACAAAACCACCGCTTGCCATGTTGAGCCCCGGCGTCGTCGGTGGGCGTGCCAAGCTTCTGAAAGATCTGCGGAGCTCGGATAGACCGGGCCATGTTCGTTTGTGTGTGTGTGCGCGTGTGGGTGGGGTGTTTGTTTGTCTTTGGACCCTTTTCCCCATGGTTCAACAGGAAACCAAAAGGATCACCACGCATCTTTGCCGTCCCCGTATATAGACACACACCCTTTTGAATCATCAATCGATCCGCTCACATCACCCCGCCTTGAAGATGGTGTCGATCTCAGAGTCGCCCGCGAACAGCGGCGAGCCTGCGCTCGCTGCACTCGCTGCTCGCACAGGTCCGGTGCACGCTCAGACCGCCGAGAAAGTGGCTTGAAGTCAAAGCCTCGACTCTTGCCATGGCAGAATTCAAAATCTGAAGATTCAAGGTCTCGTTTCTTCACGGAAATTGCCAAAGAACGGTCGTGCACGTTGATTTCCTGTAAGGTGACGAAGGAGTCGAGCAAATCACGACCTCCAATTTCTAGTTGGCGTGGTCTACGGTTAAGACTAGCACGATATCCTGATGGTGCAACGAAAAGCGAGCTTCCACAGCTTGACCCTATGACTTTCAGTCAAAAAGTGCATCTACGGCCACACCTTGAGAACTGTATCCTTGCCAGCAACTTCCAAACAAATGGCAACCAACCTGATCAGCGAATCAACACCTCTTCGCTTTGAGGGATCTGGAGGCGTCTTTTCGGGATGTTTCAGAAAGGACACATGGCCGGGGGCATTTGGCTCGTTCCAACATCTCCCCGGCTTGCTTCCTTGCCTGTGGCCATCTCGGCAAAGACGCAGCCAACGGCCCACATGTCCACACCGATGCTGTAGATGCTCTTGGCAGAGAGAGACGCCGGAACAAGACGCGAATGCTCTGACTTGCAGTTCTGCGCTCGTGCGTGTGAGATGCGTTCTTTTCAAGCGCCGACTCGCTGTCCGCCAACGATCGAAGAGGTTTGGCCGTAAATGTCATGAAAGGCACCTTTGGAGTTCAACGAGCATAAAAAGACGAGCATCTAAGCGCCGAGACTGAGCGAAGAACATGAACCGTCAGTACTTGAGGTCATGCAAACTTTGCGTCCAAACTGTCCAGTGTCTTGCACAAAAATGGAGTTCTGCCACATAAGGGGGAGATGTTTTGGAGAGCAGAAATCCACGATATTCCACGATTCACGGCTGACCAAACATGCCGGCGGGTCCGAGCCCAGGAGGATTTCTGGGGCGCGGTACCAGACCGTCACCACCTCCGCTTGGCACGGACCCAGTCTGGTGCTCTCAGGCGAGACCGGTGGAGAAGGACACGCACAAGCCAGGCCCCGTGATTTTACAGACCGGTGGAGAAGGACACGCACAAGTCAGGCGCCTGACTAACATGGTCATTTTAATCTTACCTATCAAGGTCACCTCCTAAGTAATAGGTTAGAGGGAAATACCCCCAGTTGCTGACTTTGATAAGCCGCCAAAAGAGTCAACACAATGACAGCAAGTTGAGTCAAAACATCGTGTCCTTTTGGGAGGCCCTTGGTGGCTCTGGTTTTTAGTCGGAAATCAAGAGGAAAACCGAAGCCATGTTGGGATGCCTTAAAAAAAAACACCCAGGGTTCCTGCGAAGGGAATGTTGAGGTCGGGTTTTCGAAGCCGCGGGGACCGAGGTCATAGGGGGAAAGGGAGTCTCAAAAATTCAGATGGGCCAATATTCAAAGTATCAGGACTCAATCAAGTTTTAAGTGGAAATTGACATGGCTAGAACTACTTCGGCACTGATTCACCGGCAACTGTCCATTGACCGTCAAATATGGAGGCCCGCTGTTTACGAAATTCAAAGCTCAGTGCAGCGGGCAACTCTGCTAGCATCAGGGACGTTTTCACTGCTACAATTGATTGTGTCTATTCTTAGGGGACCCCCTAAAATGGTGGTGTCCTTTTGGTGTTCCTTCAAAGCCACACCAAAAACATGCCCTGAGCCAAAGACCCACTCATTTGTGTTCCTGTTCATCCTCTGTCCTGGTCTTCATCACTATCATGACGCTTGCGTGTTGTCATGGCGATGATGATTGTCCGCATCCGTCAGAAAGAACGACAAGAAGTTGCCCGAAACGCCTGCCTCATGAGTGTACTTGGGCACTGGCACCTGTCACCCAGAGCACGGTCGCGACAGATTGCACCAGTCAGACTGATTGTTCACTCGATATGTGTTTAGTTGTTGCAGAAAAAGTTTAAGGATAAATCTCACTACAATGCAGCACTCTTGCCAAGCTGAGGGTGCGGAATTCTTGCAGCATGCGGTCATCAAACCCTCAAAAGAAGCAGTTGGGGCCGGAGTTCCGCCACCGTCTTCTGCCATGGAACCCCAAAAGTCATCTGCACAAAGAGGGTTGGGGGGGGCGTCCCCTGGCAAGGTGTTGCCCCAATTTCAGAGCCCAACACCTGACATGGAGGTTGGAGGCATATTAATGATTTTCCTCAACTTAAACCAAGCATGAGAAGTTCTTACTGAAATGGCCCACGGAATCTACTGAAGTTGGTATCCCTTGTGGGGTGTGCCTTTGATAGGGCACCCCCCAAAATGCTGCTTTCCCTTTTGGCTTCCCTTTAAAGCCAACCCCGAAAGAAGGATACCCTCAAAAAGGACAGTCCCAACTTCGGCCGCAACAACTCCCCCCGACCAACCCGAAAGCGCATTCCGGGTGTCCGGCCACGAAGGCCCGCGCGAGGCCGAAGTCCGCGAGCTTCAGCCGGAGGTGGTGGTCGATGAGCAGATTCTGAGGCCTGCGACGTGCGGGGGGGGCGGGGGGGCTGGGGCTGTCGGGGGCTTGGCCTAAAAAAACAAAGGTGGATGGAATTGGAATAGATCCGAGAATCTCCCTCTGGCCACAGATTTTGAAAACCACAATCGCACAAAGCGCCCAAGATCTTGACCAATCTGAGAGCACAGCTTGATGTCCCTATGGATGATCCGCCTCGCCTCAGGCATGGCGCAGGAGCCGGCCCCGTGTGTTGTCAGCTTGCCAGCCAAGGAACGTGGCAGACTTCCAGTCCCTTCACCAGCTGCCAGCAGAGGCTCTTGATGTCTCTCCTGCCGCATGCAAAAGGTCAGAGCAGACGAAACACTTCCCGGGACTTGGGTGTCTTGTTTTTGGGGAGACACTGAAAGGAAAGCCACCCTGTGGGTTCCCTTCAAGACAAACCCATTTGGGGCTTAGGGTTGTTCCCTAAACCCCCCAAACCCCAAAAGAAACGATCTCTGCTTCACTCAAGCTGGGTGCCCGGCGGCTGCAACACGCCCTTCACCGACTTCATGTACCTACCGCATGACTCATGAAGGACATGGGCCGCTCACATGACATCGCTCAACATATGCGCTGTCTATGGTGTATCAGGGGCCTGTAAAAAGAGTCCCACAAAAAGGGGTGTGTGTGTGTGACATGTGTGCTGAGTGATTTGCAAAACCCATGAAAACTCTTGGCTCTACCAAGATGGCTAGAATACGTATCCAGGCCTGAACCACCCATGGCGCTGTTGGGGAGCTCTGGGGGGGGGGGGGGTCGAGCACTTCCTCAGGTCATTCTCCATGAGCTCGAAAACCAGGACCAGCTTGTTGGGCGAGCAAAACACCTGCCATGTGCCCCCGAATGAAACAAACCGGGTACCAATTGTAACAAGGGGCCCCTGTGGACACGTGGAGATTTCTGTCCACAAACCACTTGTGAGGTGATTCCCTGTTAAAATCCGTGGCCTGGACAAAAAGACCTGGGAGCCACAAAGACAAAACTGCCGGAAGCCTGAAGCTGACGGCTTAGATTGCTTGATGCAGCCTTACCCACAGGTATGGCAAGCAGGCGCCTCAAACAGCTTCACCACAAACTCACTGTCCAGCTCCTGCCACGCGCACACACACAGAAAACAACTGGATCGTCGTATGCATATAAGGGTGTTTATATACATGTGTGCGTGTGTGTGCGTGGGTGTGTGCGTGGGTGTGTGTGTGTGTGTGTGTGTGTGTGTGTGTGTGTGTGTGTGTGTGTGTGTGTGTGTGTGTGTGTGTGTGTGTGTGTGTGTGTGTGTGTGTGTGTGTGTGTGTGTGTGTGTGTGTGTGTGTGTGTGTGTGTGTGTGTGTGTGTGTGTGTGTGTGTGTGTGTGTGTGTGTGTGTGTGTGTGTGTGTGTGTGTGTGTGTGTGTGTGTGTGTGTGTGTGTGTTTGTGTGTGTGTGTCTGTGTGTGTATTGTGTGTGTGTTTGTGTGTGTGTATTTGTGTGTGTGTATTTGTGTGTGTGTGTATTTGTGTGTGTGTGTGTGCGTGTGTGTGTGTGTGTGTGAGTGTGTGGGGGTGCTTGTGTTTGTGTGTTTGTGTGTTTGTGTGTTTGTGTGTTTGTGTGTTTGCGTGTTTGTGTGTTTGTGTGTTTGTGTGTTGTGCTTGTGCTTGTGTTTATGTCTGTGCTTGTGTCTGTCTTGGTCTTTGTGTGTGTGTGTACACATGTATATTTGTGTACGCATGTGTATGTATGTATGTATGTATGTGTATGTGTATGTATGTATGTATGTGTATGTGTATATGTATATGTATATGTATATGTATATGTATATGTATATGTATATATATATGTATATGTTGTATATGTATATGTATATGTATACATATATGTATGTATATGTATATGTATATGTATATGTATATATATATATATATATGTATATGTATATGTATATGTATATGATAAGGTATATGTATATATGTATATGATATGTATATGTATATGTAATGTATATATATATGGTGTATATAATATGTATGTTATATATAATATATATATGTATGTATGTATAGTATATTATATATGTATATATGTATATGTTTATGTATGTGTATATGTATGTTGTGTGTATATGTATGTATGTATGTATGTATGTATGTATGTATGTATGTATGTATGTATGTATGTATGTATGTATGTATGTATGTATGTATGTATGTATGTATGTATGTATATATCTATGTATGTATGTATGTATGTATGAATGTATGTATGTATGTATGCATGTACGTACAATGGTATGTATGTTACATACTTTCTATGTGTATATATATATATATACGCGTATACGCACGTGAGATGGAGACTTATGCGATGGCTCTCCCTTGCACTGCAATCAGTCGCTGGGTAATGCCTTGACAGGTCGTACTTGTTCCTTTCAGCGGAACCAGTTTGGTCCTTCAGCACAGCCACTTCGCGAAGAGCAGTGCTCCTTAGCTTCATGCTCCGATCTACAGCACATGGTGCCAAGCAATCATCTGACGCAGCGTCCGAAATTCCTGACTCCGCACTGAGGTCATAAACTCCTCACTGAGGTCAGCGCGGGATGCCCTCATCATCATCTGGGTTAAGCTTTATCCGCTTGATTGCCACTACCTGCGCGACGTTGCACATCAGAATGCGACATGACAGAAGCCCATAACCTCCTTGAATGGCAAACCCAAAAGCGGAAGCCTCCCCTATGTAGATCAAGCATCGCAAGAAGCAAGATTTGCCAAGCAACCAAGTACAAAACCCTCATTCAATGAACCCTGCAGTGTGCCCACGAAAGCGGTAAGAACCCCACCTCAAGATCCACTAAAGGCATTCGTGCTGTTTTCCGCTCCGAACTTTCCTTTATCCATTGAAGTGACATGCCTCTTAAATCTTGGTCTCTGAGCCGAAGCCCCAAAACGCCATTTTGAGAACCCCACACACGCACTTTTCCGTCGCCAGGCGGCTGATCGGACACCCGCCGGGCTCGAGAGCCCTATCGGCCCTGCGCTCAGCGACTGGCGGCTGGGTCCTAGAATTCTGTCGAAGCACCGCGCACGGAAGCCACCGCCGCGCTTGGACCCCCCCAAACTGCTGCTTGGTTTTCAGTGTCCCTAGTGAAAGCAGGGCTTACCCTCCTTCCCCCCGAGAAACGAAAAGAAGCAGACATGCCCGCTTGAGCAACCTTAAACAATAGACGCACTCTTCTTGCTGCCAGGAGATGGCTGAATTGGTCTCGCTCATTCTGGATGTAGCTCACACTCCACTTCAATGATGGCAACAGCGCTTCTTCCCTCGTCAGATTGGAGTCGTTTCGAGTGCGGTTGCGCCTCGAGCATCCAACCCCGCAGTTGACAATCAATGCTCGCACCGCCATACTTGCATTCCTTCATGATCAACAGGTTGCATTGATTGCCAAGGCGGACGGGTTGGTGAAACCCCCGATGCTGCAAGCTCTAGCTGCTGGCTAAGCTGCAGCACTGAAAAAAGCACTTTGGCGACAAAGCATCTAAGTGACTGAACCTAAACTCAAACAGAACGGCGCGGGGAGAAGGTGCTAGAGAATGCCAAGCTCTTGCCCCAGCTCGGCACAAGCCTCCCCCTCTCCGGCATCAGCGCCCGCGTCGCCCGCGTCACTGTCTGAGGCGTCAAACGCAGAGCCCACGTTGCTCTTCTGCCCGCCAAACTTGTAGTCCAGCTGCATCTTCGCTGCATTGCACTTCACGATCTTCTCCTCGATGGTGTCCTGTCGGAGAGAAGCAAGCCTGGCCCTGCATCGGCGCAAACACAAAAATGCACAACGCAATGAAGCCAGTGCTTGGGTCGGCCTTGTCAGGGATGGCAATTCAATTGTTGGTTTGGCTCAACCGTCTTGCACCTCAGAGGATTCAGCCCTGGGGATGTACACAAGATGAAACCCAGTGCCGTCAAAACAATTGTAGCAGTATGCTTGGGAGCCTCGGTCGCTTTCTGCTCCCCTGCCAAAGGTTTATTTAACTTGTTGTTTCATAGAAAACCCATTAGTTGGCCAAAAGTTAAAGTCCCAACATCCCTTGGCATGCACCTCTGGAGCCGTCTTAGAGAACTCAAGCCCTTGCGCCAAGTGGCACTGACCGAGATGTAGGTGACGGTCACCGGGCGAGCTTGCCCCAGCCGGTGGGTCCGATCCTCAGCCTGGCGATTGTCCTGGGGGTTCCAAGACAAGTCCATCAGGACCACGTGGTCGGCGGCGGTCAGGTTCAGGCCCGTGCCACCAGCCTGAATGCTTCAGTCTTTGGAGATTAACTCCCCACAAATATGTCTTAATAATTTTGAATCTTGATAAACGTGACTGCAAAGCAAGTTCGAGGCAAATGGGATTCGATATTCCCCAGGCATCTTCTTCCATCATGTTGAACCTTGAACTTTATAAAACTTGCAGGAAGCAATGGCAGCTCCAGCTGAAAATTGTCTGTGTGTCTGTGTGTCTGTGTGTCTGTGTGTCCGTGTGTCTGTGTCTCTATGTGTCTGTGTGTCTGTGTGTCTCTGCGTGTCTGTGTCTGTGTGTTTCCCGAGTTCATACTGGTTTCTGAGATAGGGTTGCCACAAAGGATCCAGCCCTTATCAAGCCCTGCCTTCATGGACAGCAGGAAAACATCCAGGTCCCCCTTCTGGAACTGGTCGATGGAGGACTGCCGGTTCTCGAAGCTGCACACACCGTCCAGACGAGCGTAGTTCACCTTCTTTAGGTTGAACACGGCCTCGATGATGTCCAAATACATGGTGAACTGGGAGAAGACCAGGGTCTTCTGCCCTACAGCACGCTGGCCTTCAGCAACGAAGGCACCACGAGCCACGCTTGGTCGCATGAACTGTATCCCAGATCCAGCGGGTGCTGCCTTTTGCTGGGTCGAAAAGTGAGCCGGCCCAAAGGTGGGGATTTGCTCCCCTTCTCCCCTTTGTAGCACGACAATCCGCTTCAGCGGTCTGTCCCAGCGACCCAACCCGAAGTGTCCGACAATGGGACTATCATCTTCAATCACTGGCTCTACTATTGGCCAAATTTGATAGCCTCTGCAGCTCAATGAATGAAAAAAAAAACATGATGACCCAACAAACACTCTCTGTAACACAGTGAGGTCAGCTCCGCTGAAGTGCGGGTCACTGGTGCGAAGCGTTCACACGCGATTCTAAGAGAGTATGGCCCAAGAACCTTCACCCACCCACCCACCCACCCCAAGATCCCACCCACCCACCCCAAGATCCCACCCAGCCCAAGATTGCGACCCTTGACCGGACGCTCGGAACCTTCCAGGATCTTCATCAGTGACGTCAGCTTCCCCGAGTCCAACAGCTCCTCGGTGCTCACCTCAGTGCCAAGTAACTTGGGCTGGGGATGGTCAGCCTGTTTGGGGTTGACAACCAATGCAATTCGCTTCCTGAGCTTGCCAAAAAAGGCGCAGGCTCTATTGTTTTTGCTTACCGAAATAGTCCTATTTCGTCCGATTTTGAGTCACGAAAAAATAGCAGCTAATAAGCCTTAACAAGCCTTGATAAGACCAATCAGGCACTGCTCCGTCCCAGCAGCCTTTATCTTCAAGGGGGTGTGGTTATCTGTGATAAATTCCAGAAACTCCGGGAGTGAAGTTCGGGTTTTCCAAGGAAACCATGCCCACGGACCACGTAAGGAGCCTTGACCATGGCTCACCTGGCTCTATGGATCCACAAATGACTCTTCCGCCATTTGCGGCTCCCATATGTCGCGCGTGGTTCTCTTGAAAAAGACCTTTGAACGACCAGGCAAGACTTTCAGCGCACCCATCGAATTGTTACCTTACTCCCACAAACAGCGCCTGGATAGCGGGCCCCTAAATGGCAACGGACGTAAGCTGGGAGAGCTTGTGCCAAGCCCAGAAAGGGAAGTTGGCTCGGGGCTTGGGGACCCCCACCTGGAGTTTCGCAGGCTGCACGCCCATGCCCGCCAGCTTCTTCTGCAGGCCCAACTTCTTCACCTCGCTGAGGACCGTGAAGTCGTCCATCTCCTTGATCTCCCGGATGCACCTGCCGTGTCTATCGGCCGAACCAGTGATTCTATTTCTCTGTGTTCTTCTGGGGGGGTGCAATAATTGAGGTTGTTGGGAATGAACCGTTTGGGAACCCGTCGGTTTCCAGTTGGTTGGACGATCTCAAGCATAATTTGAGACCTTCCAAGCATTTGCAGGGCCCAACTGATTTCGACTGCCTCTCCGAAGACGACGTTGCCCAGTCCTTTCGCACCAGGCGGAACCCCTCCGCAATCTGCTGGTAGTCATCTTCCGAAAATCGGGCTTGACCCAGCAAAGGATGATTGCACAAGCGCCGAAGCGTGCAAAACAAGCCCTTCAGCTGCTTGCGCTTCTGCGCCTTCTTCAGTTTGCTCGAACCATCCTTTACTCGCGCAATCTCGGCCTCGTACAGCTTTCGTTGGCGCGGAGTCAGGTCGCAGCGCAAAAGCTTGGCTGTCTTTGTTGGCAACTCTGACATAACGTCCTTCTTCAGTCTGCGCATCATGAAGGGAGCTGCTCGCACTTGCAGAGTTTGCAATGCCTGTCTTTCTATGATCCCATCCAATTCCTTGATCATCTCATGCACTTTCTTGGAACCTGCTCCATTCAATACGAGCTTCAGAAGGTTGCCAAGCTGCTCAAGGCTGTTGTGAACCGGGGTACCTGTGAGTAGAACGCGGCGCTTTGCCGCAATCCCGCGATCAATGTGCTTGAATGCATTGGTTGCAGCATTTCGCAGGGAATGGGCCTCATCATACAGGATGCACTCAAAGTCCAGGCGCCTCACAGGCAAACACTGGCGATGGCTTTTCCGTTTGGCTTCTTGCAGCCTCAAGGAATCAAAGCATTTCCCTTTGCGCATCTTTCTTTCTTCACTATTTGGGGTACTTGTACCTTTGGGTAGACACAATTTGGGGGATTTGTGTCCACGAAGCACATATATATATATATATATATATGTGTGTTTGTTTCTTTGTTGTTGTTGTTTTTTGGGGGGAGGGGTTCCCCATTCTTCTCACCCATCCGCCCATGTCCTTTTCCTGCTCCCGCCTGAAGAAGAAGTTGCGGTCCTCCTGGTTCCTCAAGATGGCTGCGGTGGTCAGCACCAGCCAGGTGCGCCCGTCCTGCATCTGCTCCATGAAGCGCTGGCCCAGCTCGTAGCGCTGCTTCCTGGGAGCAGCTGGATCGATCCCATCCGAGAAGAGCAGCAAACGGGCGAAAACAACCTGACCTGTTGTTTCTTTCTTTTCAATTGTTGCGATCCTTCCTGGAAAAAAACAAGAAGAAAAAAAACGTATTTTGAGCCCGAAACCCTTGGCCCGAGCTCGAGTCCAAAGACCCCGCGACGAACCAGAAGGAATTCAGCCTAGGCTTTGGATGGATTTGGGCTTCAAATGCAAATCCGAGCCCAGGCTTCTGGCTCTGCGCGTGGTACCGCAGCACCCCGAAGTGGGGGCACCAAAGGGTACACTCCCGCTCCCAGTTCTCGATGACCGCAGCAGGGATCACCACCAAACAAGGGCCCAGCCGAAGGTCCTGTGCCCGAGCAGGTAAGGGGAAGGGGGGGGGAGGGGGTGAAGATCAATGCTCCTTTGGCCC